CATTAACACTAGAATTTAATCTGGAGACAATCTTCACAGCCACAGCACACTTTTATTTCACAACAATGGTGCTTCGTTAGAGCATTCACCAGGATTTTGATTTCTGGCTCTGATTACTTTGCTGCTCATGAGCTGCTTATTTTTTTAATAGCTAATTCACCACCATGTTTGTACTTTTCAGCAAAATAATCAGAGTCAAAGCTTACAGAGAAATCTGGAGGACTCACATAAACGTTTCCATTGTCTATTGTGACCTTATAAATCCTTTGTTTGACTCCTTTTGATTGCCATTGTGGTGTTGGTGATGGCTCCAAAGGGTTTATTCCTTCATATAATCCTTCTCCTGTTTCCAAAGTAATTTTATACTTATGCCAAGGACAAACAATACATGCTTGACCATTGATATCCTGCAAGAACAAGAATTAAAAATAGCAAGTCACTGGCTTCCTATTCTTCTCCTGGAAGAATCTCTAGGACAAAAGATGTGTTTCCTGATTTGGCTGTATGGTTGATCGCTTACCTATTTCTTTTGATGATATACTCAGAAAGAGTATTAAAATACAATGCAATAGAGTTTTTACATGACTCTATACTACAACACATTATTTTTATTTTGCTTGCGTACCTCTATTTCTCCAAGGCATAAAGGGCCTCCTTCATCTGAAACATGGTAGAAAACATTATTAATTTATGCAGCAGGTTTTATGTTAATTGTTGCAACATTTTGATCATATGTGCAAATATCTTACGGTAGCAGCGAGAGTCCATAGCATAAAATTTCCCTTCATGGTAGAAAACAAGAACTTCTCTGCCATTGACTCTGGCTGTTACTCTTCGAGACTTCTTTATGTCATCTTCTTTGCCAATTAATATAAGACCCTCTGGCTCCACTTCAACTGTTCCTGTGCTTGAGCTGTGCAAATTCACATCCTTGAAACACAAAAAAATTAAAAAAGCCACTTCTAAAACAGTTCATGTTTGAATTTCTACACGTAGAACGCATGTCTCAGTCCCAGAGAAAACCCCAAAGCATTTAACATGTGAGATGAAAGGAGTAGAAGTTTTACAAAAGACTAGCAAACATGCACACAAAGCAAAGCACAGGAGTTTGGTGACAATGCTTGGCCAAAGTGTTCACTAATGGAACTTGGACTAGGAAAATCAGCTGCTGCAAACCTGACACCTGAGGATGAGTCAAGATAAATTCTCAATCACTATTCCTTTACTCTGCACTTTATTCGCTACCTCCCTTCAAAACCTACATGAAACAAAAATAAGGACAGCAAATGTAATTTGCTGTACTGCGTAGTTTGGCTATGCAATGGGTAGCATTTACATGTAGATACAATACTCTTTGAATAATACTATGGCTAGAAATACAAAACTGATGCAAGTTGATAAAATATTCCATCTGCAAAAGGGAAAAAAAGAGTTTATTTGGGAGTTCTATTCAACCTGGCCTCTTTAGCAGATGTGTCTCTTTAGCAAATGTATCTGCTTTTCCCTTGCTCCTCTTACATATTTCAAATGTCTAATAGCCTCTCCCAGCAGAGAACATAAGCAGTTTTATCACAAAACCTGCCTTCCTGTTAAATTTGCTTACAATACCTACTGTGTTCTAGTTCCCTCTGAATTCCCAGTACAGCTATACAACCCTAACTTCCTCAGAAAATCAGGTTAAAAAAGGTCTTTGTATATAGAGACTGAAGGGAAACCACGGGTGTGGGGATCCCACTGCAGAGGAGTGCAGAGCCACCATACCTTAGGTCCACGCCAGATGGCAATGGAGATGAGAAAGCAGATCAAGAAATGGAGGCTCAGAATAATGAGGTCCAGCATTGCCTCTCTTCACGTGCAACAGCATGTGTCGCAGCCCTTCTTTATGTGTGAACAGAAGGCAGCAGGGTTGACCCCTATAGCACCAGAGGCACAATGTATGGAGGCTCATCGTGGCAGGGCCCAGCTCTGCCAGAACTGATAAGGAGCAGGGACATGCTGGGGCTGGCCTGATAACAGAAGAAAACTCTAGGTTCTTCTTGCTACCGTTCTTGCTGTCAGCCCACACCACCACCACCTCCTCCAAGAGGGATGTGCCAAACCAAAATCCTGCTCACAGCCACGCAATACATTATGTGCTTATTCGTATTCAGCAGCTGCATGTTTATTAATGAACCGTTATACTGGGAAGACAGATACGAGTGTGACATTTTCAAGGCCAGTTGTTATCTGATTTGCGTGCAATCAGGACTGACCCTCTGCTTTCCAGCTTACAGGAACTTCCATCAAGTCTTACCTAGAAAGCAAAACACTGTCAGACTCATGGGACAATCCAGTAAGGCATTCATGCTTATTTTCTTAAAAAAATAAGCATAGAGTGCAGCAAGCTAACCACAAGAAGAAATAGTAAGAAATACATAGTAAGAAATCCCCAGTCTTTTCACTATCACCTGTTTGCTGACTCTGCCTATAAATTTTCCAAATTGGCTAAAATCTTAAAACGCAGATGCCTGTGGTTAGAAACACTCTTATGAAGACACCTCTAAAAATTGCGTATCTAAATATACACACATATAGAAATACAGACGCACATGTATATCTACATACATCAACGTACACACATATATATGTATGTACAAAACAGTATTAAAATAACACTTGGCACCAAACCTGCAGCTCACTTATTGATGACATCTCTACAGTCAGACTGGATTTTGTATACATGAATTATCCAGGCACCCCAGTTTGAAACCTGGCTCAGACTGTCAGCACAGTGTGGACCCTGCATGGCCCAATCAGTAGGCAATCAGTAGCCAATGGCTTCATATTACCGTCAAGACTTGCACGCTTATCTATAACCAGCTACAGATCAAGATCCGCCTTGGCACATCAGAAGTCCTCCAGAAGTCTTTGAGGCAATGTACACTTGTTAATGTGCTGCCGAGTCTGTTAAAACACATGGTAGCAAAAGACTTTCTTCCCTTAGAAAAGGAGCACAGTTAAGGACTCCTCATCACGAAAGACCTCTAACTAGACCCAGTTACTGCAAGCCTACTGTTGCCCCTTTTTCTCACCCATAAAGTGGACATGTACCTGCAAAGTATGAACAGAACATAAGAGATTTCAACACATAGCAGCCCAGGAGGCACTGAAAAACCCAACAGAGGCAGAAGTCTCTTGCCTGGAGAGTCGTCCGAGTCTGGGATAGGATCTAGCGAAGGGCAGCAGACCTCCAAGATGGTTTTTCACCCATTACCACCTTTTCTTCCACCTCAGCCCCTGGCTTGGTGCCATCCAGACAACACTGCCTCCACAGCTGGAACCAGATGAGCAAAGTTCTGTTTTCTCCTTCCTTTCTTTGAACAGCACAGCCACATTAAGAGTGCATCAGGAGATAGCTGAGCTTGTGACCATCCCTATCAAAAGCATGTTAAAATGGCAATCAGTCTGCCAATTTTCTCACAGTCCCTTGGAAAGTCAACTCTCTATCACACTCTGAGGTGAAATAATAACTAGTTTCGCTGGATCCTCTTTCTTCCAGGTTGATGATGGTGTTAAAACTGTTCATTCAAACAAGACATGGTGCCCGCATAACGCTCTGGGTCCCGCGCCAGAATCCCAAGCTACCAAGCAGCTACCACAATGGCACCTTATTGCTTCTGTTTAAATCCACTATGCACCATTTCATTTCAGGTGGGCAGGTGTAATTCTTGCATTAATTAACTAATTAGCTGTACAGAGTGAAGGGCTGTAACCGGCCTGCTGGATTGGATGTACAGGTATGAAACACCCCTGCTTGTGGCAAAAGTAATCTAAAACACTGTAATTGTTCATGTGAAGCATCTTTTAAGGCAGAGCAGCAACACTGTTCCGAGGCCACATCCTCATTTAGCTATAGTTTTATTAATAAGATTTCCATTACACCTACTTTACCAGCTGAATATTTTTTGTCATGTTGACACTGCAAATTAAGCCAAACCTACAATCTTCTGCAACAGAAGAGCTCTACTGGGAGTGCTAGGACTGGGCATGAATGATGTGTAGAGTTTACAGCTGGCAGCATATGCATGTCATGCCCTCAGGATGTTGATGGTAGTTCACATGTATGAAAATGACTGACAAACCAGAGCAGGTACAGTGAGAACTCTGCACCTGCAGATTGGAGCTCTGTTAAATGCTGTAATTGGACCTAGGGGGCACCTCACCAATACCTGATGGAATGGTATTGACCCTGCAAAACTGCAGCCTAGACAGTTTGCTGTTCACCATTTTAATATTATTCCCTTTCCTTTCTATTTTGACCTTCAACCAATCCATGCTGAATTGTACCTGATTGAATGATTTCAGATAACTTTTTCCAGCTAATCAAGACTACTTGTAATTTCAGTCTGTCCACAGAAGTGCTGCTAGCTCTCCTAGGGTGTATTTTCTCATGTTTAATAGAAGTATCTACTCCTGAATTCAAATTACTTTCTAAAAAGTACCAAACGGCACAGACCTTATTTGATCAGCCCTCCCCTTTTTAACTTTTGGTACCTACTACTGAGTTTGATTTTAGCCAGTTGTGAACCTAACTTACAGTAATTTCACCTAGCTTTCTTTTACCTACCTTCTATTTCCATAGCTTGCTTAAAGAAAGATCAGACGGGTCACTGCCTAGGTGCATTTAATGTCTGGATTTTCCCACTGATTTTTTTTTTTCTTACTAAGCTAGCTGCCCTGACATAGGCAGCACGATTATTTTCCTGTGATTTGTTGGCAAATTTACAGTGGCGGTCTCTTACCTCTCCAGTGATCATCTGGACCCTGTATTTACAAAAATAATCCCATTTTTGTTCAGCAGGACAGTGCTACCTCTCCTGCCTCTGTAAGCACTTGAAAGAGAGGTACAGAGGCTGATCACGCCAATGCCTTTGTTAGTCTCAGGTAAATCCTAAGAGGCTGTGTTGACCTGGCTACACCTCCTAAATACCTGGTTTGAACTGCTGGCATCCTAGCCTGTCCCCTTCTCCCTTTCATTCAAAAATTGCTCTTCAATGTTAATACTACATAATTCCCTTAGCACGTTTGAAAACAAGTTTCTTCCTGTTAGTTAGCCAACCTTGCATGCTGCAAGTCTCATTTGTGTTACAATAATGCAGATGCATTCACATAACTAAATCAGAGTAATTGATTATGACTGCATTGTTAAATGTATCTATTTTAGTATTTAAATTAGCTCAGTTCTATTCCAACACAGGTAGACTATTTATTGCAAACAGAGGCCGGAAGGCACTAGGGGGCTTTTGCCTTCTCTCTAGCTTTTAAGAACGAAGGTTCACATGCAAATAGTAACTTGGAAAAGTCAAAGGTTTACTTTTAGCAAACAAGTCAGGGTCTTCTATTTAAATAAGCATTTTAAGACTACGGGATACGAAAAGAAGCACCAGAGTAGACATACTGGCTTCAGATCAGATCACAACTGGTTGGCTCTGATACCACAGAATCACCTTGCAATGGAGCATCTCTGCCTCTTGATGCTGTAGCTCTGCTTTGTGAGCTGGCACATTCCTAGGGTTTTCTGCATTATCTGCAAACCTGCCCCCATGCACTGGGCTCCTCTGGAAACCCTTAGATACAAGAAGTTATCTCAAGGAATTATGGTAAGAAGTTTGTTTCCCCAAGTTGTTTTTCCATTTCGCAAACTGCACTTTTGTAAGCCTAACACTTACAAAGAAGTTAATCTTAAAAGCTTGTATATTTAAAAAAAGACACTGTCCACAGCACTGACAAAATACAATTTTCCCTAGCAATTTCTTTAAGCATTTTCCAGCAATTTCTTTAAACATTCAGCTATTAAAAAAGCACACACATATACCACATCCAGTTCATTATAATTTTATTTTAATATATTCTATATGATGTACTGCATTCTGTCCAGACCTCTAGAAAGTTATCCATTTATCCATCCTCTTCCCACCTGAACAAGCTTTCATATGGATGTATTTATTTTCTTTACTTATGCAGACGGTTTACATTACACTGCTGTGTTTTTTTCTTAAATAATTTCATTACTATCTGAACTCAGCAAGAATTATGATGTGCTCCGGTGCTTGCATTTTTTTTAATTATTAATTTGTTCCGTGCCTACCAAAAAAAAAAAAAGCTATCATAGCAGTAAGTAGTATAAGGTTAGCCTTAATGTTCTATGAACAAAGAAACATAAAATAGCTAAAACATTCATAAATATGTACCCAATTCTAGAGTGTTGTTTGCAAAATGCATATGGAGTACTCTGTATCAGAAAATACATACATTTTTCATGTTTATTTTTGGTAGCTTACTGCTGAGTATTTAATTACAGATTTCAGAAAGCATTTAGGTATGAAGAATAATGTCATCTGATTTATTACAACAGCGTCAATAACTGTGATCAAGAATAAGCAAACCTAACTGCTGCTACAACAATTATGTTTTCCTTCAGCAGAACAGTTACTAGCTAGATCTTACCCTTCTTCCAAAACTTCAATTTTTTTGTCCCATCCCTGGAAAAACGTGAACTGGTCTTTTTATGTTAACTCTTCCTGAAAGTTTCAATCACATCTCTTCTGTGTACATTTCAGGTTCCAGTTCTTCACCCACTGATGCACATTAAAACATTTCCCTGAAGAACCTAACTGTGTAATGGAGATTTACTCAAGCAATTTTCATCTAAAGCTATGCAAATCACACTATGACTCTTCAGAGAACTCCTCTACTCATGGATTTGGTCAGAGGGTTGTTTTCTGTTTTTTTTTTTTGTTTGTTTGTTTGTTTTAAACTTTTGACAGTGACTTGAGACCGGATGCCTCTTCACCTGTACACTTATTCAATTAATAGCCCATGCACATTATTAGACAGCAAGGAGTGGTAAGTACCAGATCCAAAAGCAAGAGAACAGAAGGCAGATCTTGAAAACATGGAGTCAACCACGTACAAAACAGGAATGGTGACACAGTAAGTACTTGAATAAACTGTATATATATATTCAGACCAATACTACTTGTTAACTTTTTGATTCTATTTTAACCGCCATAGCTTCTCTTAGGTGGATGAATGTGTCTTCACTGTGGACTTAAAATCCATCCTGATGGAAAGTTGGCTCCAGCACATTTCACTGTAACTGGTATGCCACTGCACTGAATTTTATAATCCTTGCCTCAGTCTGTCCTTAGAAATGGAAACTGCTGTTGAGTTCTAATGCTTAATATTCTGCATATTTGCTACCAGCTAAATATTACATACACACAATCAGTACTTATGTACTATCCTTCCCATATATATAAAGTGTTACAGAATTATAACATGTAAAAATCTAGATATGTTGTGCTAGCTTGTTGTATAAAATGCTCTTGGCTTTTTAAAACATAGTGGTAGTTGTTCAGGCGTTGTTGCTTTCAATCGCTTATATACGACAATAATTGTTAACACTTCAAATATAGCATAACATTACCAGTGAATAATGCTTTCATATTCTCAGTCATATTAAATCTAGATTGCTTTTACTTACTTTGATGAAGCCATTTGTCAATTGCATTCTCATATTTTTCTGGTTCCTTTAACCAGTCTTGATGCCACCTAAGGTTGGCAATAACATTTGAGTAATTCTGACCTAAACTTTGTTTCCAGCTGATAAACTGTCTTTTGTTATACTCCTGAACAGAAGAAGAAACCTTCGGGTAGTTTACTATAGAGTGGAGTATTTTGTCCAAGGAATGTACCATTGCTGGGAATTTTACAGCAATGTTTGTCAGCTCATCCGGATCAGCAGTAAGATCTGGAACAAACACGTCAGTTATGAGCCAGTTCGCACTTAAGTAAATTAATGAGTTGGTCAGGACATAAAAGTGGCAACATACCAAACAGCTGTGGAAGTACTGAACAGCCATCTGAGAACGTGATATATTTCCATTTGCCAGTTCGAAGCATGTACACGGAAGAATTTACATTGCATCCATGGAACTCACTCAATACCCATGAGGGCCGATGCCCTCTGGGTGACACTCCGTTCTCAGCCTTCCCATGTAGCAGTGGTATAAGAGAATATCCACTGAGGTTCTGTGGGACAGGAATTCTTGCTATATCTAAGCAAAGATAAACGAAGTCAAAATGCTACTGCAGTTACCGTGACTGAAAAAACCTAACATAATACTACATGTGTCTAAAAAAATTCTATTTCAGTACTAAAACATGCGTTCCTAATTATTCTAGTAGAACACAGGAACCCCCAAATACACAAATAATAATTTAAAAGAAAAACCTTAAGGAGGTTTCCAAGGTCAGCATCTTGATCAAAAGCAGTATCTGTATCTGCTGTGTCTAAGTCCATCTTTAACAGACGTATGTTAAAAAAAAAATTGGAATAGCCTCCATTGAAGCACAGTGCTTTTTTATTTTTTAATCATGGTTTTATACCCTTCCCTTCGCTTCTGCTCTAACCAAGTCAGGCAGGCGAAAGAGACTGTCATAGCATGAAATGACCCCAAAAGCTACACATCCAAAATAGTCTAACCCTTCATTTCTGTGCTAATAACGGTGCTACTCTCTTACCTAATATTCTTCATCAGTGAGTAACAGAACATTTTACAAATGGTGGCCATTACGGTTATCACCTGTAACTGGTGGGGAAACCGAGGAACAGGGTCATTTGCTTCACTGGTACAGCTGGAGATGAAGATGGTGTCAGAGGTGGAATCCATACTGTGCGCGTATGGAAAACAATGAATAACTCTATGGCCTGCTGGATGGCCCCTAGAAGATGCTGTAACTTGAAGCTCCTGAGTATCAACTCACATCACAAGTGTCTCTAACTCCCAAAGACTAGGTCAATATTAAGAGGCTGCACAGATCTCTCAGAGACATCCTGAAAAACAGTTGAGAATCCCAAGCATGTTACCTAAACTAAACCTAAACTAGTGTGTCCTAAATGGAGCATGACAGACAGTTATTAAAAATTCATCACTTTCCATGTCAAAGAGCACTATGGTAGTATTTCATCTCCTATGCCAAGTGGTGATATGCAGTGCATATAAGTTCTATGCAACAAGGGAGGAAGGGAGGAAAGAAGGAACTTAAACCACCTGACCAGTTATGTTATTTGAGGAAAAGCACAAAGAAAAAAAGAAGATTTTTAACTTTTTACATATGATACTTACATAAGTACCATATCCAATGTAGATTACTTTTTATATATATAAAAGACTTGATATCAGAATTTGGAAGAGAAACCTATTCAGATTATAGTCTATTTTCATCTGGATAAATAGACCAGAAATTTTGAGAAGAGACATGCAGATAAAGATTCTTTCTTCTGTTCTTAGGAAATCAAATTAAGACAATATAGAAAAGGATTTTTCACTGTCTTTCACTAATTGAAGTATAGTTTTATCTACTATCCCACACTTTCTCAGGGAACTGCAGTATACAGTGACAGTTCTTGAAGAGCAAGCTTTGCAGAATGCCTGGAAAAGACCATTTTCTGATTGGTAGCCTAAAAAGTCCCAGATAAAGAATCAAATGGTGATTTCACCTAATGTTTAGTTTCAGTGAGATTCATCTCTTGCATGATTTACCACAGGTAACTGCTCAAAAAATTCACTCTAAAAAATAACTGCCATCTGCATGTAAGCAATTTACTATCAGTCTTTTTTATTTGATTCTCTGCCCTACAATGAATATTGCCACATCTAAGAAGGTAAGAATGATATCCATCATCATACTGTATTATGCTTAACATGATCAATAGCACAATTCCTGTACAAAGTTGCTATAACATTTCTTCCACGTGCCCCTTTGTAAAAGACATTTCTAATGAACCTCCACCCTTTCAGGTTTAATCTCATCTCTGGATGCATTTACACTGTTAGGTATGAAGGCTATAAAAAATTATTCATATCTAAACTGCATCTGACTTTTTAATCAGTTTTCCTTTGTTTTAAGATACTCCTATATAATTCACTATAATTGTGTTGATGACAGTAACATGAATAAGGAGCATCCTGAGCTCCTTTAAATTTTACATCAATTTTTTGCATTTAAGTTCATACGTATCCTCTGCCAATAAACTTTTATATCCCACTGTGTTACTACATTGTCTCACAAAGTGGAGATGAAAGCCTGACTATAATACAACTGGGGGAAAAAAAATAATTTTAAATTACTTAACTTACCAAGCATAGTAGGATATATATCCACAAGAGATACCACATTTGGTATTTGCTGCTGTTTTTTTATGCCTGGCCCCATAACTAAAAGGGGAACATGTGAACTTCCTTCATACATGCTCATTTTATAGAACTGCCGGTGTTCCATAGCAAGTTCTCCATGATCTGCAGTGAATATAACAACTGTTTTTTTAAGAAGCCTAGTATCTCTCAGAGCTGAAATAACCTCACCTGCAACAAGAAAAAGATACTGAAAGGCTATGTTCAAAATATTCTTTCCAACTTCTGTACCTGCAAAGAGGCATGCAAACCCTGAGGAATCCTAGACAGAGGGTTGGTATCTCCTCTCTGCCTTGGAAGGCAGAGCCCAATGCATTCATTCCAGAACAACAGTCGCCAGTGAGTTGCAAGGATCTGTTGAGTTGTTGAGGGCATTCAACAACAACCATAAAATGTCAAATGTCCTGCACCACAGGACAAGCTGCATTTTTGCTATGTCACTTTTGTTTAATTTCTCGGATAACTAATGCTAATCATTTCAACAGCAGTAGAATAGGTCAGCAGAAGCTCTGACACTGCAGTTAGGGTGAAGGACTCTTGAGAGCATCCACTTTACACAGCGTAAATGGAAGTTTCTCCTTCCTGTATCTACATCCCCTCAGGAGTTCCTTGCAAATTTGTGCAATGAAGACAGGGTCAATGAAGTCAGTAATTGCTTACACATCTTTAACATTAAAGATGATTCTTGCATAAGCAGACTAATTAAAAGCTTAAAATATGTTACCAAATTAAACCCCAGTGCTGTTACTTTGCAATACCTTCATTCCAGAAGTGCCATCAGGCTCCAATTGATGTCTCTTTTTTTATTTTTAATTTTCTTTAAAATGTGGAAGAGTAATTCAGTGTCTTGATCATTCTAACATTGCTAAAAAGATCAGCTTATTTATTCATTAATTTTATATTACAATATAAAGGAATTCTTATTCTTTCATGGTCACTTTTCAAATTTTTAAATAAAATACTTGTCCTGGGTTCAGCTGTAACAGTAAATAAAGACCAATTTGCATTATAATAATTACATAATTATGTATGTAGATGTTACTGCAAACTAAAAAGAATTCTGAATGCCTAATTAGTTTTTTTTGTTTTTCTTCTCTTTAACTTTCAATAGTATGCTGCTAAGGGAAACATCGTAAGTTTACTATGTGTAATAGCTGTCATCCAGCTATATTGAAATCAATCTCCAAGGAAATCGCTTGTGCCATAAAATGTACCTTTCCTTTCAGCTCTGCTCTGCTAGTCTGTCCCCATTCCCAGTTGCTTGCACTGATTCAATTAGTACTTAATCAACGAGTACTTAGTTCCTCTTGTACACTGGTAACTGTTTTGCTACAGTTACTGGGCTTTTACAGGGTCTCTGACTGGTGGGCGTGATTACTTTTCACAGTGCTCTGAATTCACCTTGCAATAGCCTTAAAAACTATCCAGTTATTTATCATATAGACTGATTAAGCAGCATCCATGTGGCTTACTCGCAGATCTGAACTGTGTTTTGTTTCGGTTCCTTTTTTTTTTTTTTCCTAGAAGACCAGCTCTATGGGCATTTAATTACGAAAATCAGAACAAGAAAACTCACTGTAGAATGAAACATTACCTACCGAGCATGGCATCTGTCTCTGCACACATAGCATAATAAAATGCTCTAATATTTCTCACTTCTTGCTTTGTAAACTCGCCTGTGCAATTCTTAGTGTAAGATGAGTAATAGTCTACTGGATGCATCTTTGAAAGAGAAGACCACTTGGGTATTTTAATAGCTTCATAAGTCACCTAAAAATAAAAGGAAATTCACATTACTTTAGCAACTAATTAATTTTTTTAAAAAACAGATTTAACTTAAAACTTTTTAGCACAAATTCACAGTTCTCAACTTGTTGTCCAGGAAACATTAGCTTCTTTCCCATTACATGGTGCTGCCAGCTTTCCCCTTCTTCCCCTCTGCTTCCACAGATATGAAGTATTTTTAAGAGAGTGCTGTAAAAATCAGCTAGAAACTAAGGCTAGGAGCCATAAATATGTGTTCTATTAGCTGATGTCTTTTTTTAAGAGAGATACTGCAGAACAGTCTTCTGGAACTGTACTCCAGAGTAAGTACAAAAGTATTGGCGTAGTTTCATTAACTATAGGATAATTACAACTCGTATGTATCAAAAAGATCAAGTGTTTTGTGAATCCACAGAACAACATGGAAATTTACATAGTCTGGTAAGGTCTCTAGAAAAGTGGATGACAAGTCTTGACATCTTGATAAAAAGAATTCACTATTACTAGTCAAATTTTCTGACACTTTTCTATTTGTTTCTACAGTTGTCAATCCATTCAGTTATAAAGAATTCTAAGATCAGTTTGAAACCAAAATGTAGGAGCCAATCGGTTACAAACAATGATGGATTTGTATATTCAAACTGCCATGCTCACAGATACGGTGTGCTGCCATACCAGCTTTAAAGCCTCAGCATTTGACATACACGTTTAGCCTAGGCAGTCATACTGTACATATTCCTTTAAGTAAGTGCTGCATTTAACAGTTAATTACTTCCATACTGTAGACTTAAAGCACGTTACCATGAAGCAGAGATGTAGTCTTTGTATAGAAAACTTAAGTTTTTAAATTAATAAACCAGACATGTTGCCTTAATTTACATCTGGAAATCTTCTTAACAGAGCTGAGACCTAGATTATGGCACATCAACTCTAATGCCTGTGCAGCACCTTCTGGGGCTGCAGCCACAGCTCCACTCCCAGGCTGTCCCCAAACACGGGCAGCATGGTTCCTGATAAATTAACTGAGGTGCTTACTTTCCAAGCAGCTCCATGAAGCACAAAAGCAATCAGACTAAAGGTGTCCCTAGATGCATTGCATCCCTGTTTATTGGTGTAGCAGTTTAATAAGCATCAATCTCTGCTGAACCCAATTTGGTTTTGCCCCAAGGTGTGGATGGGTAACTAAGAGCTGTCTGGGGAGCTACTAGCACAGCATGTCTCTGGAGCACAAGCTATAGTTTTGACCACCAGTGCTGTTATGGACATGTGTTCCAGTACCCACAAAGTTCTACCCCCCACAACAGTCAATATTCTCTATTAAGTTATCTAGCAGATGTATTAAGTCATAGAATCATGTAGGTTAGAAAAGACCTTTAAGCTTATCAAATCCAGCTGTTAACCCAGCACTGCCAAGTCCACCACTAAACCATGTCCCTCAGAGCCACATCTACACGTCTTTTAAATGCTTCCAGGGATGGTGACTCCACCACTTCCCCGGGCAGCCTGTTCCAATGCTTGACAATTTCTTCTCTTTTTTATGAAGAAAATGTTCCTCATATCCAGTCTAAACCTCCCCTGGTGCAGCTTGAGGCCATTTCCTCTCATCCTATCACTTGTTACTCGAAAGAAGAGACCAGCACCTAAACAGTTGGTACGGCAGCAGGAGGTGAAGTGCCCATAGGGATAAAACCCAGCTTTGCAATACAGTCAGACATACCAAAACCTAAGTTTTCTTAGAGCCTTTAGAAAACAGGCTGCAAAAACAAAATCATACCAGGCAATTGCTTCAGACATCTTCCTATTGCTGAAGGTCCTTGGCTACAGAAAGTCACATTTTAGACTCCTCAAATGGTGTCTATTAGTCACTTAAGACATAACAGGACCCAAAAATGTCCCACACCATCCACCATTCATCAGAAGACTGAAAAAGGTTCTACAGGAAAAGGGTTCTACAGGACTACACCGTAGTTTTAGGGATTCACATAGTCATGAACCCTTTGTTTGTCTGACGTAATTCATAGCTAGGAAAAAAGCCATATGCCCTGAAAAAGTACTGGCTAGTGCAAAATATAGGGGACCATCTGCTTAGCAACACAGGGTTTCATAAACATACCATGTTGATATTCTGTTCTGTATTAGCTACTCAGTAAACACGTAATTTAATTCAAGTTCTTCATCTATGCAAAATTCTTCATCAGATTGATCTCTCATTTTCAAAGACTGCTTCTTCCATAGGCAAAACATGGAAGCTACATTCCGTAAGCACCATCCAAAGGTCAATAAATGGTAATATGTGGTTCACATAACTGAGTATGTGTATGTAGTGGTGGAAGAGACCTCAACAAGCTATGGAGTTTATTTACTCTAACTGGATGACAAAAATTTGTGAGAGATGTTATAACTCTGCTTGCAACTTTAAAAAAGCTAACCCCACTTCCCAAGATGTCCAACCTAGCAATTAGCACCTAGCAAGTCTTCTTTAATATCCAAGCCAGATCTTGATTTTTGCAAATGAGGTGTTCTTTTTCCCCCAGGCTTTTCCTCTACCAAAAAGCTTCTCACCATTTCCAGAAGAACCCTGTACATCCTTTTTTCTAAGACTTTGTATTCTTATTGCACCAGGATAATTTTGCAGTTTCCCAGCAGAAAAGGCCACAAGTTACATGAACTAGGGGTGGGTTTTTGTTGGTTTTTTTTTGGTGTGTGTTTTGTTTTTGTTTTTGTTTTTGCAGGGGTGTGATGTGTTTTTTTTTTGTAGGTTGGTTGGTTGGTTGGTTGGTTTGGTTGGGTGGGGGGTTTTGGTTGTTTGGGTTTTTTGTTTGTTTGTTTTAATGTAAGCATGAAGTCTTTTCAAACCCAATTCTCAGTTCTTCAGCTGCAGAGAATCTTAATGCCTTTATGCAGTGAATGCTGTTTTAGCCCATTTATATTTTAATGGCAGATAATGGCACCTGGAGACCACACAAGACAGAGAAAAAAAATTACTGCTTCTTGGAATGGAGTGCAATCTGTTAGCTTTCCACTTACGGACACAGTGGGACTTTTGTGCACTCTAAAAACATTCAATAGCAACAGTGGCACAGAAGGAAATTAACAGAAAAGTGACTTCTGTGTCTTACTACTTTACGTTCTCGGTTCATATTTTAGGAAAAGTCAATCGCTCCCTATAAAACTTAGAATGATGACATTCAGCATCATTTATAACAAGCACAATAAAAAAAAGCTACAAACAATGAACTTCAGACCATTACTGAAAAAAAAAAATAATACAGGTATGTATAGCAGTAATTTCATTTTCTGTTTAATGTGTTTTTAGCCACAGAACTCCAAACTTCTTTATTGATTCAGTAACGACTGCTAACAAAGCCTTTCCTACAACAGAAAGAAATTCTTCACTTCTAATTGCTCAACCTTAAAGCAGAAATCTAACATCTAGACCAACAATTTTCTTACTCTGCACTGACATATCTAAACTGGGTCTGACTTGGAAAGTCATGTGAGGAATAAAATATTGTTCATAACAAGTACATTTATAAATAAACTTATATTCAAATTTCATCTTCACATACCTTTTCAAGCCAATAGGGAGATGTTACAAATGTAGAGGATCCAAAATTTTCTCCTGCATAGGGTGATGGATACGGGTGTGGTAAATTCAGCCCCAAGTAAAGAACAAATGGTTGAGTAAGGTTAACGGCTTCATTCTTTATCCAATTAACTGCTTTATCAGTATTCTGCCAATCTGCTTCCATCACTCTCACATGCTTCTTATCACCAGTCAGGTTTACCATAGGTCTCCCTTCTTGGCGGAGCAGAAAGTCAACATCCCTAGTCCAAGCTTCCACACGGTTACTGAAAATACATACATATGATACACACTCAGTGGAAAAATGTGTTCTTCACCGCTTCCTTCAAGTCAAAAGAGTTAAGAATTCCTGAAGAACTTTCCTTATACTGCAATCTATTTGTAATTTCTACAATAAAGAGAATTGTTATTCAATTGATCAATATCTATTACACATCTATTTTATACTCAAAGCTTTAGCAATTTTTTTCTGCTTCTGAATCTTCTTATTTATTATAACTTCTTCTCAGAATGGTTCTTCTCACATCTACAAAATAATATTTAGAAATAGCATCTCCATCTTGTTGACCCTGCTACCCTTTCTGATATGGATTCACATTACTTCACCTGGCAAAGAGGGCATTAGGTTTTTGTTATTTAAAAAAGTCCTGTGGGAAACAACTTGCCTGGAGAGGCTGCCTTTAGAAGCATCATTCCGGTTTTGGATAACACTATTATAACATTTTTAAACACTACCACTTACAACAAAAGTCCGTAAGAGTGACTGATCTTGTACAATGGCATTCTTGTATAAATGCTATCAAGAAAAGGGAACAATGGAGTAGAATGGTGTAAAGAAAGCAAGAAGGAGAAAAAGAACACTTTAATGATTATTTTTTTAACATATTTTCTAGTATCATGACAATATTGCCTCTCTAAAATGCTGAGAAATCTAAGCTGCAGATGTCCTGAATTCTTTGCCAGAATGAATGACACCATGGCTGCCATAAACAAGGGTTGGGGGGTTGGAACAGCTCATGAAGAACTGCAGTGCATTGGACGGACCCACATTAGAGAAGTTGGTGGAGGGCTGTCTCCCATGGGAAGGACCTCATGCTGGAGCAGGGGAGGAGTGTGAGGAGTCTTCCCCTGAGAAGGAAGGAGTGGCAGAGACAGCATGCGATGAATTGACCACAACCCCCATTCCCCATCCCCCTGCACTGATGGGGGTGAGGAGGTAAAGAAAATCAGTACGAAGTTTAGCCAGATTGTAGGAAGGGGTAACAAGAAGGTGATTCAAGATTTGGTTTAATTTCTCATTATCCTACTCTGACTGCTAACTGGCAATAAATTAAATTGATTTCCCTTAGTCAAGTCTGTTTTGCTTGCAACAGTAACTGGGAGGTGATCTCTCCCTGTCATTATCTCAGCCTACAACCCTTTCGTTCTATTTACTCTCCTCTGTCCAGCTGAGGAGGGCAGTGACAGAGTGGCTTTGGTGGGCACTAGGCATCCAGCCAAGGCCAACCCAGTGCAACAGCGTAAGTCTTTGAAAAGGTGTGACCTTCAAAGAAAAAAAAAAAGACAAAAAAACACGTCATGTTTTGTGATGGTGGATTTGATACCCAAGCTTTATCAAATATGTTTTCCTACATTGCTGGTATAATACAACCTGGAAGTCTCAAGACACCGTTTTTGAACTTCACTTACAGAGCAATGCCAATGATCAAAAATAACCTTCATTCATATTGGGCAAAACCACAGCCTTGATACTCACCTTCCATCTACAGGTAAAAGCCATAGGGCATCTGCATGGGATACACTTGGTTGTGCACAAAGTTGCTAAATTTCTTTCACATGAAAGCTACTACCATTTCAGAGATAGAAACCACTTGCCAGACAATTACATGATTAATTCAGTCCTGCCTGTTTTGCAGGAGGAGAATCTATCTGATTACCTTACTGAATGATGTCCAGAAGTATAGTCCAATTTCCCATACTTCTGTGTGTGGTAGCCATGCTTCTCCATGAGATCCATCCATGTTACATAACCTGGATCTAGACCTTTGAAGTTATTCCAAGACTCTGTTAAATGCGTGAAAAGACCACTCCACATCGCTGGGGAGAACAAAGAAATGGGTTATGGTTTTCGATGAGGTGGTACTTCCTATCTAAATGCAAGTTACTTGAGAAGCGATCAATCAGTATTTTTGTGGCAAAAAGTCCACATGTACAAAGTATTACACTTCCAAATCTTACTTTCATCATCAATACAAATAACAACATTTACTAAAATAATCCCCAGAATTACAGAAGGTCCCATCCAGGTGCTATGCAATCATTAAATAAAGGTTTCCCGTAGATTAGGAAATATTCCTATTAATTGCAGACAGAAAATGCCATGGTAGTACAGATCCTGATGAAACAGTCATCTATTTACATTTACAGAGTATTATCTGCCCTTACTTCAGTTAAATTTGAACATGAATTTAAAGTCTGTGGAGGGAATTAGTGAATATTATTTTTACAAATAATATATGCCCTCAGTTTTATCCTCTTTAGGTAATTAACTTCACTATCAGCTCTAGAAAAAAAAACAGATTATTAAAGAGGCCAAGAAGAAAAGAAACCAAGGGAAGACTTGCAAAGAAACTGTAAGTATTGTATTTATTAGTGAATTCCTGTGTTTCTTTGCAGATTGTTGAGAATCATTCACTCTTCCCAATTCTAAGAGTCAAAAGGAGTCCTAAACCGGAACGAACCTGTTCTATTCACAATGGAAATATCCTGTGTGGCAGCCCTACCTCCGTACCATGGCAATACTCCTACCTCCCCCACCCTAAAATCCTCCTTCTCACCATCTCTTCTAGTGTGATCTCTGACACCTCCCCAACAGATGTACCCTCAGCTCCTTGGACGTCTCCAAGCCACTGGCTAAACAAGAAATGTCCTGCTAGTTCAGAGCTACACTTGTGATGACTGACAAGTGGTCATGATGATGTTGGTGGACCACCTATAATGATAAACAGAAATGATGAACTGTTGAATTCATCATGCAGTATCTTCTTCACTGGGAGCAGTAGCTGCTATTTTCACAAAACTTCTTAGAAAAATATACAGTTACTATTCTCAGCAACAGAGATTATCTGAAAGATGCAAAAATTGAGAAAACACGACTGATGTCACGCTCATGTACTCTCACTTAAGATGAGGCCCTGAAAACAGAAAAGGGTACCAGTAAAAGGTTATCAGTAAATAAAGTACTAAAAAATTAATCTGACAGCCTGTGCCTGCTGCAATCAGGATGGGATGCTTGTTCCAGTGTATGCTTGAGAGAAAGGGGGATCTTCCTTTCCTTCCTTTAAATTTCATTTACAACTCCCAAGGGGTCTTTGCAACAACTGAAAGGTCTAGAAGCATTTTAAGAGGCAAACTTTGCTTCCTTCTAACTTCCCAGCAAATTCTGCAAGAGGGAAATTGAACACAGGGCAACTACTGCAGCAAGTATATTCAAATATTCAATTAAAGCTACTGAAGAATACATAATGCATTCAGCACACTGCTTGGAATAAATGCCATTGGAAGGCAGTACTATTCATCTGTTATTATGTAATACTATTTCCTGAGACAGGAAAGAGAATTATTAATTTTGCATTGGGGAGAGCAGTTCTGAATGTAGCTTTAGCACTGCAGCAGACAGACTGATGATTTTTCTTCAAATCCAGAAATATTTTTTTCAAATAGTAACGCTGCAGTGGAATTTGCAAAAAGATTTGTGAGCTCACACATAGCTTGGAAAAGAAGAAACAAACAAACAAATAATGAGAAACAGAAATGAGATACATATAAAACATGAGTACCCTCTATAAATTCAGACACAAACGAAAATAAAATTGGGTCTTACTGATAAACAAAACAAATTCCCTAAATTAAATCCTTCAAAATTTCCCATTATTACCATGTATTTAAATTGACACATGCTTGGTCCTACCTGCACGGGAAGGACAACAAATTGGAGAATTGGTATAGGCATTGAGAAAGACAGTGCCATATCTTTTCATAAAATTTATGAAAGGCAAATCCACAGTCTGATTTCCAGGATAAAACGTCAAGCGTCCATCCTGCATAGAAAAACAGTATATAAACAGTATGAACTCAAACTACTGGCTACATTAATTCATAGTTTTATTACCTTAACTTGCATTACTCAAACGTTGCCAATTCTACTCAGGTATGGAAAATAAAATGTTGAGAAGCTATAATTAGACTAATTTAATGGATAAAGAAAAGTGTTACATAAAGGAGATGAGGCCTTTTTCATTGTAAAATTATTTCCTTTCTACTGCTATACACATTCTGATGTCCAGTTCTTATGGTAGTAGAGTCCCACCATGATGTATTCAACAGGGATAGCTATGGTGAAAGGTGACGAGAAGCCAGTCTGAATCCTGATGCAGATGTGTGCATTGGCATGTATTTCTGTGAAATCAGAACTGATCCTTCATCTTTTTCCTTCTTTTAAAGGTTTATCCACACATCTCTGTGAACTTACTCTACACTCTGGACTGGAAAAGTGGCAAGACAGCTGAGTTTAGAATACAAGAGTTACCAACTGTCTCAGTAACATGGGAGGCCTGTCTTCAGTTGTAAGCAAGGAAACATACCTGGTATTTGTGAATTAAAGATCTTTCCTACCTGTCTAGAGGTTAAAACGGCTGTATCAATAAATCATTTAATAAAGCCACTAGAAATCCATAAAAACATATATACTAGTTCCTTTATCCTTTTAGCTGTAGATATACATCCAAGCAGCTTATTGTAATATTTGTTATACCAAACAGTGCAAGTATGATGCCCAACAGCTTAACTCAGTCATTTGCTCTGTGATTACAGACATTCTCCATCCCATCCCTAAAGTTCTTAGGATTTACAATGGCAAAACCAACAGGCTGTAGTGACCTTAATTTCCATTTTGCTTTCTAAGCCGAGAGAAAAGCATTAATTTCTTTTACACACCATCTCTGTCCCATTAACTGCTGCCCTGCTCTACAGCCCGGCTGACATGCCTCCCTCTACCGTGAATTGCGGTGACAAGCTGGAGATACCACAGCTGACACCCCGTACCACACAAGCAGAAGTCTCTGACTACTGTAATGCGCCCGTTGAATACGTGCAGCACACTCCCGTTAAGAAAGCCGAGTCTGGTTTACAATACAAGAGTTACCGACTGTCTGAGCGACACGGGAAGCCTGCCCTCATTACCCCAGGCAAGCCTTCCACCCCGTAGAGGTGGTGGAGAATAAAACCCAGCCCTGTAGCCTATGGCTGTAGAAGGAACAGGCACGGAAAAGTCCTCTCTGCTATTAGATATCCTCGAAGGTCCCTCTCCCGCCGGCATCTGCGAAACGCCGCCGAAGCACCGCTGCCGCTCTGCCACCCTCCTGCCCTCCCTCACCGCGGCCCCGGCCACTACCGCGCCCAGGAGCCTCACCAAGGAGTCGCAAACCACCAGCACCACGCTGGGCCGGGGCTGGCCCACGGGGGCGCCGGGCGGCGGCCTCGCCCCGGCCCAGGGCGCGGCGGCCATAAGGAGCAGCACTAGCCCGGCCCGCCTCAGCGGCAAGGCGCCCGACATCGGCCCGGCTCTGTGACCTCCCTCTCCCGGACAGAGGGATGCGGCAGTCCCGAAGACCGATCCGGCCCCACCAGAGGATCAGCCGCCTCAGCAGAAGCGCTCACCACATCAGGGTACGGCTCCGAGCGGCGGCAAAAACTACATCTCCCACAATGCACGAAGCAAAATGGCGGCTAAGGGGGGCAAGTCTCTGCCCTGACGCCAGGGCGTATGCGCCGGGGCAGTGGTTGTGACCTGTCCCGTCGCGGCTCGGCTCGCCTTGGCTTGCTGCGGCCCGGTCTGTGGCGGGGGAGCCGGCCGTGCTCGGTGGGTCCGCCTGCGCTGTGTCACTTCTCCCCGCGGGCCTCCGCTGTAGGTACGAGCTGGGGAGCCGAGCGGGTGTTCGCTGACGTGGGGCCTACTTTCTCTCTAGGTGAAACGGAACCTAGGCTCGGAAATGTCGGCGGAGGGGATGTCTGTGGTGGTTGAGGCGCCTTTGCCCTCTTAGGAAGCAGATTTATCTGTAGGAGCTGCTGGGCAGTGTAAGTTTAACTTTTTTTTTATTTTATTTTTTTTAGACTCTTGGGGGAATCATTGAAATCCACTCTCTTCCTGTGTCCTTTCACTACTAATTTATTTCTAGGCCCTTCACCTATTCTTTATCTCTTGCCTTTTAGATGTGAAAAGGCCTTTTTGTGTTTCAGCTTGTTCCTGTTCCTGTTTCTCTCAGTGCCTGCACCGTTGGTGTTGTTTCTCAGCCTCCTCCCATTTAGGCAGTGTTGACTCTAGAATCATAGAATGGTTTCGGTTGAAAAGGAGCTTAAGATCTTACAGTTCTAACCCCTTGCCGTGGGCAAGGACACCCTGATAGACCAGGTTGCTCCAACCTGTCCTTGAACACTGCCAGGGAAGGGGCAGCCACAGCTTCTCTGGGCAGCCGGTGCCAGCACCTCATCACCTTACGGGTAAGAACTTCTGCTTGATATCTAACCTGAACTTCCCCTGTTTTAGTTTAAACCCATTACCCCTTGTCCTGTCACTACAGTCCCTAATGAAGAGTCCCTCCCCAGCATCCCTATAGGCCTCCTTCAGATACTGGAAGGCTGCTATGAGGTCTCCATGCAGCCTTCTCTTCTCCAGGCTTAACAGCCCCAACTTTCTCAGCCTGTCTTCACACAGGAGGTGCTCCAGTCCCCTGATCATTCTCGTAGCCCCCTTATGGACTTTCTCCAACAGCTCCATGTCCTTGTTATGTTGAGGAAACCAGAACCTCACATAGTACTCCAAGTGAAGTCTCATGAGAACAGAGTAGAGGGGCAGGATCACCTCCTTTTACCTGCTGGTGATGCTCCTTTTGATGCAGCCCAGCACATGGAGGGTTTCTGGGCTCAATCTCCCACAGAAGCTGGGTCATGTTAAGCTTCTCCTCAGCCAGCACCTCCAAGTCCTTCTCCACAGGCTGCTCTGCATCAGTTCTCCACCCAGCCTGTAGCTGTGCCTGGGATTTCCCAGACTCAGGTGTAAGACCTTTCACTTGGCCTTGTTGAACTTCATGAGGTTGGCGTTGGCCACCTCACAAGCGTGTCAAGGTCCCTCTGGATGTCTCTTCCCTCTGTCATATCAACCAAACCACGCAGCTTGATGTTATTGGCAGACTTGCTGAGGGCACACTCAATCCCACTGTCCATGTCGCCAGTAGAGATGTTGAACAGGATTGTTTCCAACACTGACCCCTGAGGGGCACCACTTGTTACCCATCTCCAGTTGGACATTGAGTCATTGACCTCAGCTCTCTGCATGCAGCCATTCAGCCAATTCCTTATCCACCAGGTGGTCCATCCATCAAATTGATGTCTCTCCAATTTAGAGACAAGGATGTTGTGTGGGACGTTGGTGTTTCTGAAATTTGTTTGAGGCAAAATATTTAACTGTATACATCAGAATAATACATAATCATTTCAGACTTCCAGAGCATGAAGCCTCTTTGCTGTGTCCTTAAATGTTTTTATTCTTTCTCACTTTTACAGCCATAGTGAGAAGGAGGGTCTGCCATAAGTGTGTGAAGGGAGGAGAGCATTGTGGACCACACCTAAAGGTAGGTGACAGCCTAGCCACAGTGCTGCTGTATGTAACGCCCAAGAAAAACTCTTAGGATCCTTAGGAACCCCTTACTGACTTAATCCTGTGCTGGAGCTGAATGCAAATAACTAATTTGTAAGTAACTAATGGCACGTCCCTGGCAGCATTAAAGGCCAGGTTGGACAGGGCTTGGAGGAATATGGTCTTGTGGAAGGTGTCCCTGCCTAAGGTACTGAGGTTGAAACTAGGTGATCTTTAAGGTCCTTCCAGCCCAAACCATTCTGTGATTCTATGAATTTTAAGCATATTACCTGTTTCGGCTGTTTTTAGTGCTGAATCCATTTTGGCACACTGCAGCATATTCCTGTGTTCTGAATGCTCTCTATGTAATTATAGTGGGATATAACCAACATTTTGAGTTCAGTATATCTTTCTGAAAGAAATGATTATATATATTTTTACTTAATAGCCACAATGTCAAATAAGGAGGTGAAGGCAGCATTAAAGAGTGCTAGAGAAGCAATACGAAATAAAGAATATAAAGAAGCCTTAAAACATTGCAAGGTAACTAACTTTTTTATTTGGAAGGTAATATTTTATGCATGTTTGCCTTGCTGTTCCCATATCCCTACAGCTGTGTAGTAATGCAGAGTGTGGAGTACCATATTGGTATAATAGTTGAGATTGATTTTTCAAGTCTAACTCCACTGATCATTCATGTTTGTTGCCCACATGTAAGCTTTTATTCTCCTTGCTTTTGCATTTGCTTATATGTGACAATAAGAACATTAATTCTAAAATGATAGAGATAAAAAATTTCTAAATTACACCTTGACAGGAGTGCTTTAATTGCTGAGCTCCAGATGTTTTTCCTACAGTTCAGATAAGAAATATTGTCTGATATGAAAAGCTGAAGTTATTAATCCTAGCCTTTTTCTAAAAATTATTTCTAGTATTAAGTTGTTGAATAATTCACCCAACTGTAATGATAAAACTCAATACATGGATCTATAAGATGCATTTCATTCATCAGTTTCACTTAAAATTGTATATTTCTAGGCAGTCTTGAAGCAAGAAAAAAATAACTACAATGCTTGGGTATTTATTGGCGTGGCAGCTGCTGAGTTAGAACAGCCTGATCAGGCCAAAGGAGCATATAAGAAGGCTGTTGAGCTTGAACCGAACCAGTTACTGGCATGGCAGGTACTGACTGTCCAGACTAACTTTTTCTTTGCCTGAAAACTGTCACTATGGAGTTAAATATTGCAACAAAGCAGAGTTGAGACTTGTACTGTGTCTTCTTCGATTCTGCTGAAGCTTTGGAGTAGCTGAGGTTTGTATTGTTTCTGTGTTCAAAGTTAAGTCATGAGTGCCTACATAGCCTGTATGTCAGGGTAAGTTTCAATTTCAGCATATTTAAGATTTTATTTCTTGTGTACACTAGTTAGCAGTGAAGCATGAAAGGGAGAACATAAATTGAAACAGTACAGTAAATTCATCCATGCTTAGGAGTTTCCATGTGTCTAGCTCAAGGAAAATTTAACAATGCTCTCATAGGCAAGAAAATGTTTTTTCTATTAACATATTTTTCCAGCTTCCAGCATCGAGTGGTTTGTTACTGAATTTTGTTATTGTTTAAAAACAATACTATACATTTAAAGTAGCTGTGTGCTGGGTGGTGTATTCATGACAACCAGTAACAGTGTATAGTTACAGTGTACAAGTATGTTGTTTGGAGACTTGTGAAGCATAAAATTGTACATTAAGTCTATCTCTGATACCAACAATTGATACTTTTTGAAGATAGGTTCTTAGTACTTTTAATATAAATACCTTTTTAAAGCATAACCATTGGTGCAGTATTTCAAGGCATATTGAAATTTCCTTACTTTTGCAATCAGATTCTGGCTTTTTGTTACTATGCAAGATAGTATGATACTTGGACATACATCTTTTATCACGTGACAGTTTGCTTTGTATATTGTCTGTTACATAGACAACATTATGTAGCATATGCAAGTTTCAAGTATTTGTTGGTATTAGTTAAGAAAGTGAGGAAAACTTAGTAGATTCAAAAGGCTTTACAGAGGTATCAGCATAGATTCTGCTCAGAGATTATGATTTTAATACTTGACCCCATTGAAGGCATTGAGTAACTTTCGTAGGCAGAACTCTTGCAGTGTTCTCATAATACAACCGTTGACAGAAAATCTTACTTACATTTCAAATATTTTTTTCTAAAGGGATTAGCAAATTTATATGAGAAATCCAACCAAACAGATGTCAAAGAAGACTTAGCAGATGTTTACCAAAAGCTCTTGGAACTCTATGCAAGGTAAAAGATACTGAATACCATCAATTCAGTCTAAGATCTTCAATGAATACTGTTGCTGATACACAGGATAGAGTTGTTTTATTTTTAAAGCCTTGTAACATCTGTGCTTTCAGCACTTGTTACTAAAGTTGTCTGTACCTGTATAAGGTTTCTTAATCTTGTCCGTTCTGATAAGGCAAAAACTCTTGGAAAAATTGAACTTAAAGTCAGCTGTTGAGAAAATTCTGTTATACTATGTCCTCTCTCTAAACTTTCTGCATTGAAGCATTCAGCTCTCATAGTTCATTGTCTGCATTAGTAAGTAGGCTTATTTTTGTCTGCTTTAAGATGACAGAATGTATGTCATCTGGTTTATATAGGTGCACTTCAAAACAAATGTAACTCTCAGCTGGAAAACTTAGCTTGTTTGTGTGGGATTTTCTTCCTTTCTAGTGGTGACAAGCAGAAATGGTGTGATGTATGTACCAAGCTTGTAGAGCTATATCATCAAGAAAAAAAATACTTAGAGGTAGGTTGAGTAATTTTGCTTTCTCTCTTCAAACATGGAATTTCCATTTAATCAGAACTAACTACTTTTCATCAGGGAATCCCCATTTTTTTTTTTTTTGCAGCCACAGACCAG